AGGGCAGAAGAGGCGCTGCAGGTTCCGGGCGAGGGGCTGCCCCACGGGCACTTGGAAGGCGATGTGGCACAGACGGCGTGCGGATGCGGCCATGGTGCACCGATGAGACCCGGACCAGTCCTCCTGGGGCGGCTCACTGACTCTCAGTCCCTGCTGGTCGTCGGAAGCCGGTGGAGTCCAGATCTGCGGGTAGAGCGCGTCCCTAGCCCTTTTCCCGCGAGAAGACACAAACACTCTTTGGGGGCTCACGGCTGAAACTGTCGGGACCACTGGGTCTGAGCCGCGAGTTATGAGAAGCACGCGGACCCGGGGCGGGGTGGCGAGGCTGGAGGGGGCGGGGCCGGTACCTCCACCTTTGACACTCTCCACCCTCTGGTCCAGACCTTGTCTCCGAGGGACGCTGAGCTGCTCATTTGGGGCCTCAGGCCGGGTCAAACCCTGGGGCACTGAGCTTCCCTTCCACGGCCCCGAGATAACAATAGCTGCCTTCACTCGGTGCCAGGAGCTGGGTTCACGCTCACCCTCCGACCTCAGAGCGAAGCACCGCTGTCCTGGATTGGAGGAGCCCAATTCTCCCTCCACAAGCGCTGAACATTTTAGCAGTTTCAAATTTTTTCCTTACAATTTCGGAGTTTTTCTTTAAATCTTAATGTTTCTTTTAAATTGCTTTTTTTAAAAAAATTATTTATTTTTTATTTATTCATTCTTTTTTTGTTTGTTGTTGTTGTTGTTTTTAATTTGACCAGAGAGAGACAGAAGATGAGAGTGAGAGAGAGAAGAAGTGAGAAAGCAAGTCACCAGATTCAGGACTCTAGCCCTGGTTGGTCATGTGGGAGTGTCCAGCGCCTTAACCACCACACCACCTGCTGATCCCTTAAATTGCTTTTAATAATAAAATATTTTATTTATTTTTTTGAGAGTTTTTTGCTATAGGGCGCGAGCGCTGGCCAGACAGAGAGAGACAGAGAGACAGAAAGCGAGAAATCCCCCCCCCCCGGGGGGGATGACCACGCCGCAATCCCTTCTCCTCTGTTCTCCTCTTGGGATCTTGAGCACGCCCACACACGCTCCTGGCGTGAGTTTTAAGCCACCAGGTCTGGGATGCAAACTGCGGTCGACTACGTGGGAGTCCAGCAACATAACCATTATACTAACTGCTGGACCCAATAATAAAATATTTTAAACTACAGATTTTCATTCCCCACCAAAACACCCCACAGAAATGTAGGATGGGCCATCCATATGGCTTCTCCTTTCATGTGGACTATCTCTCAAATATGCCATCTCTTTTTTCAATCCTTCTTCTCTTGATATTTTTTTGGGGGGAGGTGAGGTTTTTGCTATAGGGCGCGTGCACTCACCAGAAAGACAGAGAGAGACAGAAAGTGAGAAATCACCCCCCAAGGGGATGGTCATGCCGCATTCCTTTCTCCTCCATTTTCCTCTCGGGATCTTGGGTACACACACACGTCCGGCATGAGTTTAAGCCACTGGGTCCAGGACTAGAACTGTGGTCAACTACATGGGAGTTCAGCCTCATAGCCATTACTCCATCTGCTGGTCCCGACTTCTCTCAGTATTTTTAACCTCCTTGTCCCAAGAAAGATTTGGAGGGAAAAACTGTTGGTTCAAGACCTGAAAGCACAGTGACAGGGCATTCTCTGACCCCATGAGGATTGCCTTTGCAGCTTCCCGGTTGGACACTGGGCCAGAGGAGTTTTCTGAGGTTGTTCTTGGCTCTGGGATCCAGAATTATGTGAGATCAGTGGAGTGAGAAAATTAGGAGTTTTCTGAGTGGTTCTTCCAGGGCTGGGGAAGGGCATCCAAGAATGGCAAAAGGTACACGCAAAAGCTCAGTGGGCAAGTGAGCCAGACTCTCGGAGGAGCACTGAGCGTACTGTCCGGAGGGTGTTTGGGGTAGATGCCAGGGTCCAAGACACTGCGAGAGAGTCCTTTGTCAGGCAGCCTAATCTTCATTGTCAAGAGGTAGAAGGATGGGGGGGGGAGGGCAAGGCTTGGAAAAAAGAGGCTTGGCTGAATGTTCAGACTGCAGACAGGAGGGCAGTACCCGGAAGTTGGTCAGTGGCAGTGAAAGGCACTTGGAGCTGTCCTCCAAATGAGTGGGTATGAGCACACGAGTTCCCAAACCAGACAGAGCGGGGTGTAAAGTCCACCTCCAACACTTACTAGCTGTATGGCTACGGGCAAGTTGCTTAACTTCTCTGAGCCTTCATTTGTTCCTCTGTAAAACTGAAAATAACAGTACCTATGTCATAGGGTTTTGTGGTTAAATGAGGTAGCATTCAGTAAATAATAACTCTTGCTATCCTTGCTATTTTACTCTCATACCAGATCATCGAGAAAGTCATGGCACATTTTTCTGTTTTTCTATGCAAAAATGCATCATGACTTTCCAGATGACCCAATACAATGCCAGTGGCACCTTCGTGAGTATGTTGTGTGGGCTGCTACAGAGATGGGGACAGACACTACACTGGCATAGGTCAAAGGTCACGCAGCCTAGTCAATGAGCCACTCAGTAGTGACCCAAAACAAGCCTTGGCCCATTCCAGGGACGCCTAAGTAGCACTAATCCCCAGGCACAGTGGAAACTGTGGGGACTACTACAGGGAAAGGGCCCCCAGCGCCTATCCAGCTCCGTGTTACTGCTCACTTACACCATGACCTTGGGCAATGTTCAGGCTTCCCACCTGTCAAACCAGCAGTGCAAACCCAGCACAGGATCTCTCCTGAGATGCCTTGTAGCGAATAGGCTAAAGACTGTGCTGAGGCCTTAAATAACCTCAGGGATGCTGAGAGACTAGCCCTCCCCTCCCCGCCCAGGGGGAGCGTTCCTTCCCATCACTACTGCAGATTGTGCTGAGATTTCTCAGGTTGCAGTGTATGCAGCAGGGGAGTTGCAGCTTTGCAAGTGGCCCAGGCTTAGAGGCGGGAGAGGGAAAGGAGGGGGTCAGGGTCAGGGCCAGGATGGTACTTATAGGCCTGATGGTATAGGGCCAGGTGTAGGGCCAGGCTGGTACTTATAGGCCTGATGGTATAGGGCCAGGTCTGGTACTTATGATGGCTCTGACTCAGCTGTGGGGCCAGAGCAGACAAAGCACCAAAGGCCACAGGGTTGCAAAGAAAGGGACTGCAGTAGGATCACGAATATCAGGCATAGTAAGGTTTCCTTTCACGAGGCCTGACACCAGATGGTCTTGGTGCTGGACTCTTGGGGAAGGAGCCTTGGGAACAGGGCGCTGTGAGGGTTGGTGCAAAACGGGTTATCTTGACCCTTCATAGTGGAGACCCAATGGGCAGCTCTACAGCGTCAGGCCTTTGGTCCAGCAGCAGGGGTTTCTAACCAAGGGCCCCAGGTACAGAGGGAGCAGAAACAGGACTCCTGGCCCTCCTCTTCCCACCTGCTAAGGGGCTGTGTTAAGGCTGAGTGGGAACTGTCTGAAGGAAACAGGCGGTTCTGACTGGGCCATGGTGTCCTGCAAGTCACTGTGTTCTGAAGAGGTGGGCTGGGAGTAGAGGTGGTCCTGGATGTTACTCTCCTTCCCAGCAAGACTCCACTTGTGCAGCTCTGGGGCCTCAGGACTCCTGCTCTCTTAACTGTCAGGACCCTGACGGTCCTCCTGGGGCTACTCGGGCTGGGGGCAGGCGTGCAAGTAGAGACCAACGCAAACTGGAGGGCGCCACTGGAGGGCGCGCGGGGCCGAGGGGCAGGGCGGAGCTGCTGCTGGCGGCATCCTGCCTCTTCAGCCTCCCAAGGGGCAGGTCAGAGTGGAGGCAGGGTCCATGAAGGGCTGAGGACCCGAAGTCGTGGAGCCACGGTCCTCCCGCAGCTCTCGGCCTAGGCTGGGCCACTGCACGGACTCGCTCTCCTAGCTCTGAGACCCTGACCCCCTCCTTTCCCTCTCTCGCCTATCCCAGCAGGCACCTGCAGAGCCCCGCCCCTCGGGCTCGCTCCCTTTGCCTTCCGGCGGAGGCGACACCGGAAGCGGCGCCTCTCTGGCCCCCGCCCGGCGCGCCCCGGTCTACCTGGCCCCGCCCCTCTGGAGCTGGTTGGGCTTTCGGTCATGCGAGACGTCCCGAAGGTACTGCATTTCCGATCGCGCCCCGGGCCCGCTCCCACACGTCCTTGTGTACCCGCCATGGAGGGCTTGATGTTTTACAGGCCTTGAAAACTAGGGAGACTGGTGACTTTTTTCTTTTTTTTCCTGCTATAGGACGCGTGTGCTCACAGAGAGAGACAGAGAAAGTGAAAGGGAGAAAGCAAGCTGCCAGGTCCAGGACTTGAACTGCAGTTGGCCATGTGGGAATCCAGCACCTTTAACCACCACGCCACCTGCCAGCCTTCCGTTAGCTAATTTCTTAAAAGTAGAATTATTAGGGTAAAGACTACATGTATCTTTTTATTTTTAAACAATTCTTTTTTATTTAACTTTATTTTTAAAATTTGATTAGAGAGGGACAGATCAAGAGAGAAAGTGAGAAAGCAAGCTGCCAGGTCTGGGACTAGAGCTGCAGTTGGCCATGTGAGAGTCAAGCGCCCTTACTGACCACGCCACCTGGTAACCCCAAGGCTACATATGTCTTTAATATTTCATAAATTGCGTGTAATTATCATTTTTAAAAGTTATACCTACTAGAGCTAGTAGGTAGCATGGTGGTTAAGGCACTAGACTCCCACATGGCCAACCATGGTTCGAGTCCCAGACCTGATGGCTTGCTTTCTCATTTTCCCTCTCTCTGTTCAAATTAATAATTATAATGATAAATAAAATAAATAATTCTTGTTTTTTTAAAGTTATACCTACTTACACTCCCACTGGTGACTTGTGAAAGTTTAGCCAAATTGGCTGTGCTCACTTTTTCCTCTACTTTACCCCCTACTTATTTCACTTCTCATTCTAATTTGTTTTTTTTTTTTTTGTTTTTTTTTTTTTGAGAGATTTTCATTGTAGGGCGCGTGCGCTCACCAGACAGACAGAGAGAGACACAGAGACAGAAAGCGAGAAATCACCCCCCAGGGGGGATGGTCACGCCGCAATCCCTTCTCCTCCATTCTCCTCTCGGGATCTTGGGCACGCACGCACACGCGCCTGGCGTGAGTTTTAAGCCACCGGGTCCGGGACACGAACCTCGGTCGACTATGTGGGAGTCCAGCGACATAGCCATTACGCTAACTGCTGGTTCCCTAATTTGTTTTCTTTTCATCACAGCACCTTAAAAGGCTCTAAGTTCACCAGT